GTAGCTGAGACTTGCACTGTACAACCTTGGTCTTGGACAAATAGAAACTTCTTCCTCATGCTACAGAGTCTTGTAACTTCTTTCTCCCTTCCTATGGAATGTAGTCATCATTTGCCCTGGTGACAAGGAAGATACTATCACCAGCAATTATGTAGTGGGGCAAGAATATTAAAGAGGAAATTTCCACCCATAGGTAAATAACTGTAAAAAAAGAACCCCAAAGAAGGGAGAGAAATTCAAGCCCAGGCTCCTGTTACATTGGCCAAATACCTTTGGCCTCCCATGTTTGCCAAGTGTTGGAAAGGTCAGGAAAACTGACAGGATAGAACAGAGACAGTGTGAATATTTTCCCTTGCACTATTCCAGCATCTACTTAAATTTTCATTTTATGAAATAAGCATTCAGAGCCAGGCCCCAAACCCAAGCAAATTCGCAGTGTCTCCATGTGTGTGGACAGTGGGATTATTTTTGGAAGGTGGGGTGTTGACAAATAGCGGTGTTAGCTATTCAGGAGAAATGGCATCTTGAAGTAGCTCTGAGGTTTTACCCTCTTGCCGAAAATACTGCTTTCTAGAACTTAATGACTTTGGACTCTGACTCAACTTCACTAGTGTAGTGAGTAGTGAGCTTCCTTCATCAAAATAAGAGGGAAAATCATTGCCTTTGCAAGTGCAGGAGCAGGTTTTCCAAAGGACATTCTGTTCCTTGGCACCTTTCATCTTAGCTAGGACAACATTCACTTGAATACTTAAGTATTTTGTGAACTTGAACTTGCTACAAGATGAGCTAGATTGACTTTGTAAATGCCCTTTTGGTGTAGAGGTATTGATTATAACCAGCAGAGTGACAGATTATCTATAGATTACCTCCCTGGTGCCAGTCCCTTTCACCTTACCAGCCTAGCATACTCTCTGCTCCCAAGCTTTTTCACCACAACTGAGGGAGCCCCATGCCAGCTGCTGTGAAAGCCCTGTGGAGCGGAGCCTCTTTTACAGAAGTTCAGATGACTTAGTACTATTTTATTGAATGTCTCTTACATATCCAGCTCTGTGCTAAGTGCTTTGTATTCATTATCTAAGCCTTATAAGTAATATTTTATCCCCATTTTGAAGAAAATGAATTAGGTTCACAAAGGTTAAGCTATTTGTTCACAGTCGAAGTCGACAGCTAGTAAGCGTCAAGTCAGAATCTGAACTCAGGTGTGATAATCTTTATGTTATACCCCATACATGCCTTGGCCTGAGGTCTTGAAGGCAGGAGCATGCTGGTCTCTAGCCAGGCCCCAGTGAGGCTTCCACACATGTTGGATTGCTGGTCCATCTACTGGCTGCATTGCTCAGTCATACTACTCACGTCCTGATGATTTTCAGCCTTTGTTCTAGAGCCACTGGGGTGCACATCTGCTTTATCTGAATGAGTTCAGGATCTGCCTCCAGGTTTCATTCACCACAAGACAACATGAGAGGGAGGGAGAGGATGTCCTGGATTAATCAAATCAGTGCCTAAATGACACTGTAGCTCTTGTGAGCATCTCTGCTCTGTATTTATCTCTTTAAAGTTGAGGACAGCCTCAGTGAAGACAAGGCTGTGGGGCTCCCACAATGAGTAATCCTGGAATCCCCTGCATGTGCTCCCACTGTCTTTGAGGGAGAAATAAGAGATGGGTGTGATTTACCTACCCACGGGGCAGGGAATGAGAGATGGAATTGAGGATGACCATGTAAGTACCCTCACAGTAAAAGGTGGTCACATGCTTCAGTACTCAGAACACAGCAGACTGGACCAAGGCCCTGACTTGACCACTCTATCTCTATTTGGCTTTGGTTTTGTTCTTATAAAATGTCTCTCCTAGGAAGATCTAATTAACTAACTTCCCATCAATAAGGATTTGATTGGATCATGAATTTCAGTACCTACTCAAGTTTTCTGTTCTCAAAGTTGCATTAAATTAGGTAAATTGAGTTAGGTTTAGGTACCTTCCCATGGCAAAGGTCAAGAACCTAGCCAGGTGTGGTGGTTCAAACCTATAATCCCATCTATTCAGGAGGATGACCACCCTGGAAAACACAGGGAGACTATGTGAGGTGCCTGAGAAGCACATGGAAGAATTGAGCATTTAGAGGGAAGAGTGACCTCTGAAATCTCTTCCCTGTTCTTGGGCCAGGATGGGCCTTTGTACAGAGAACACCTGGGAAACAGTTAGTGGTGGGGGACTGGGGCAGAACCACTCGACAGGAAGCTTTTGGCATAGACTCCCCATGAACCTTGGATAGTAAACTGGTTTTACTGTCAACTGGGTCAGAAGGAAAGGAAGTAGTATTGGGCGCTAATTGAGATTGTTTTCCTGTATTTTCTTGGTGGAGAAAAGTATTATGGGATATTTTAACTTTTCCTCAGTCAACTATCAGATACAGGTTAGAGGGCCTTAGCTTAAGCTTTCTTCCCAGGAAATACTTTTCTCAAGTCAGAGCTTAAGGACAGGAAAGACCTGAAGAAAACCCTGGAATGAGCCTCAGTGCTCATGCATGGTGATGGGCTTCACCTGATTGGGACCTCGCTGCCTGTGAGGTGTGGGGGGTGGGGCGTGCAGACCCCGATGAGGAGTGCTAGCAAGCTACATAATGCTAGAACATAGCAGGGATTCTTTTTGACCCTTTCCAAAACAAAGGCCACGTTTCCCTCTCTGGATTCTTGCCATTGGTGTGTCGTATATGCAATTGTTATTTTCACACTGAGACTGTCAACTCCTTGTCAATCTCATTGCAGACCCTTGAGCTCCTTGTCCAAGGCTGATATCTGTTGGTATCCTCAGCAATACCTAAATCCATGCTGGGCCCAGACTCAGTGCTTCATAAAGACATTCTGCCTTGGCTCAGAGATCAAACACTATTGGAGCCAAAAAGGGTTTTTTAGAAATCAGCAAGTCCAACATTGTAACCTTATAGATAGTACTGTGACAAAAATCCCACTTTGGGGGATAGTGTGTGTCTCCTGGATTTTTGTAAGTTAAACCCCAGTGCAGTTGACCATACCTGTAAAGATTTGAAAGGCTTTCTTCAAACAGGGCAGGACATGCATGTAACAATGGTTGGAATGCTAACTATAGATGTCAGACCCTGACATTATCACTGATCTTTCCAGCCACATCCCAGTGCAGAGGAAGGTGAGAACTTTTGCTTGGGACCTTGGTACAGCTCTCACAGAGGTCAACAGAGCTGGAGTTCAGTTCAGTCAGATGTCCGAGCTCATGGCCTGTATCATGGTGGCTCTCATTGGGGTCTCTGACTAAAGCTCCTAATTAGTGGTATACAGTGCTGGCTTCACAGCATCCCATGGTACCTGCCTCTCATTGTCCTAAAAGAAAATACAAAATTAATTTTCGTTAACTTGAATTCTCTACTTAAAACGAGGAGTGATTAAAAAAAAAAAAGGTAAGGCAAAAAAGCAAACAGTGATAGAGACTGGATTTCCAGAAAGGTCAGTGCCCTAGATCCTAAAAGCACTTGGGCTCAGTGAAAGGAATGAGTCCCATAGCAGAAACCAATGCCAATTGTTCCTCTGTGACCATACCTCATCTGTCACTAGTGTCAAGCAGCCTCAGGACTGTGGTTTCCAGGACAGATCTGATCTGGGTTACCCCCTGTATACTGAGAAATCAGAAATAAATGGGCTCCCAGAGTACTGGGGCCCTCTGGGGAGTCTGTTTGCCTCCAGCCTTTCCGTTGAGCTTTATATACAAATAAAGTGAGTGTTCAAGGTTATTCCTGGGTCACTGGCACATAAACCACTTGTTTTGGTAGATCCTTCCTGAGAAGGTTAATTATATATTTGATATCCTTTTCTTTTATGCTTGCATGATGAGGATAAGTACCCTGTGGTTTATTAACTGTCACTTTAAACCTTTTCAAATTGTCTTGTGACAAAACAGAGTTTTATGTCCTTTTTCTATGCAGCTTTGACACATGAGACAGCTTCTCCGGTTAAAGTATGTCAGGATAAATAAAATGCTCTAATTTGTGGGGGGCGATAGTTTTGTATTTAAAGCCATGGGCTCAAGTCTGCTGCTCCCGTGAAAGGGGCCCTAACCTGTTCATCTTTCCATCCACTTCCTTTTAGTAAATGGGTCTGGGCGCTTGGTTGTTATTGAATGAGTGAAAGAAGGCAGTACTTCAGGGAGGTAGATCACTCTGGTTTTTTATTTTTTTGCACTTCTAGAGATGGAAACCAGGGCTGCCTGCATGCACGGCAAGTGCTCCTCCACTGAGCTGCAGCCTCAGCCACCTCCAAAATTCTTGATGCCAAACCCTAAAACAGTAATCTGACATGTTTCCTGTTTAGAATCCAACTGATCCTTAGAGCAAAGGACTGTGTCCTTGCCATCAAATAATCCCAAACCTCACTTCTTCTCCCCCAAGGCCATTCTGTTATACTTTCAATTTTTCAGTAAATTGCAGTAGCACAGGTAAGTATCCACTATCTGAAGTGCTTGAGAATAGAAGTCTTTCAGATTTCAGGGGTTTTGCCTTTCAGAGTATTTGCATGTGTACAATAAGGTATCCTGAGGGTGGGCACCAAGGATAAACATGAAATTCACATGTTTCATAAACACAGAGCCTGAAGGTCATTTTACACAGTGCTTTCAAATGTACCATTTGTGGTGACATATCAGTGCTCAAAAAATTTCAAATTTTAGAGCATTTTGGATTTCAAATGTTTAGATAAGGGATGTTAACCTATATTACTGCTGATGTCTTTAGAGAATTTTAATAGCTGCTTTGTAAGCCTTGTTGCCCCCAGTGTCATCTACCCACAATTTGTGTATGTCGAGTGTTTGAAAACCACTCTGCTGGGGCAAACAGTGGACGGAATTCAGTGGTTAATCTTTCTCTGTAATCAGTATTTACTGAATCCTAGCTAGGAGCAAGGGAAGGTGTTTATTTAAAATTGTAAAAATAGCACTGAGACTTTAAAGTTCTTCTCTTGTTTTTAATTCATTTCAGTTTGCAGGGACATTATCAGATGGCTTAGGGAAGACGATGGACAATCGGCATCAGTCAGAGCGGGAGTACATCAGGTACCACGCAGCCACAAGTGGGGAGCACCTTGTGGCTGGCATCCATGGCCTGGCTCATGGTAAGTTTCCTGTTGTTGGGCTGAGGAAGAATGGTTCTTCTGCCACTGTCCCTCACAAATGCCTTTGCACCCACCTGAAAGCATGGAGAAAAAAGAAAACTGTACTTAGCACTTCAGCCAAGCAGAGCCAGGCATGCTCTAGGTCCTCTTCTTCACCTCCTGGGATTAAACCCATGTCTTTACACATGTTAGGCAAATGCTGTACCACTAAGGTGCACATCCAGCCTTAATCCTGCTTTATTAACTGTTAGGACAATACAGTTGACTATTAGAGGACTGTTTTGATGAATATAAAATGCTTTGCTCTGTCTGATTGCCGTAATCTATCCAGCATCCTTGGGGTGTGGAGACAGAGCATGGCCTGCCTCACTTTTTAGACGAACACAACAATGTGCTAAGAAGATGGGTAACTTGTTCAAGGTTTCAGTATCACCTCCAACCATAGTCTCTCCAGGAGCCAGTTAGGCCAATCTAGGGTCACATCATCCAGAGAGGACCTTTTGATATCTGGGCTACGTGAAGGCTGTAGTGAGATTCTTCTTTCAGGCAGAAAAGACCTTTAGATGGCAATGAGAGCCAGAGTGGTCTGAATCTCCTTAGTTTAAAAGTGAGTCATGCTTGACCCAGGCTCATTGGTGTCTGTCTCTGTCTGGGGTGTCTGAATACCAGTATTGTGCATGTTATGCTAAGAACTTTGAAAGGTTGAAAAAGCGAGATGTGGTGGCTCACACCTATAATCCTAGCTACTGGGGAGACTGAGCTTGGGAGGATCATGATTCTAGGCCAGTCTGAGCACAAAGTTCACAAGACCCCTTCTTAGAAAGGAAAAAGCTGAATATAGCACACGTCTATCAGCCCAGGCATTTTTATTCCCAAGCAAAAGGGCTAGAGCCATGGCTTACACAGTGGAGCACCTGCCTAAGTTCAAACCCTAGTTCCACCAAAAAAAAAATAAGTTAGGGAAAAGGATATTGCCTTACTGGAACAAATGGACCCCAAATCTGAAAAAAACACTGAATTGTTAGTACATTCTCGCCCAAGGAGTTTCATTTACCAATTTGTCTCACTAGAGCTGAAGAGTGCAGAGAGCTTCCTCACACCCACTGTCAGAGGGTAAACATCCCATGAGTGTCCCTGGCCCAAGTCCTAAAAATGCTCTCTGGACAAGCTCTGCCTCTCCCCTGTAACGCCTGCACCCTCTCCCGCCTTGGCCAACTTCCTGCCACTTCTGAGACTACTTCAGCCATTGCTGTCAATTTTCAGAATGTTTGTAGTGTCTTTCTGAGTTAGCTTGGTCATTAGCACTGACCCCCTAAGAGTTCAGTCAGCTTCGGCTGCTTCTTGGGTACCTCAGGAAGGTATCATTGTTTACTGTACTTGCCTGTTCCTGATCTCAGCAAGGTACATGTGATATGTTTTGCCCCATTTCAGTCATTTGCTGGCATCGGCTGATGGCAAAGTGTCCTTGGAAAACTGAAAGCATGTAGTTAGATGTCTCTCTGCCTTATATTTCATAGGATCCCAACTTCCCTGTTTTCTGGTCTCCTGTTGATTTAATCCATTCTTTGCATCCTCTTACCTTTGCCCATATTCTGCCCAAGCTCTGGGATTGAAAAATAGCCACTGTTAACATCCCAGCCTTTTCTTTGATTTTGCTTCTGACCTGTAACATGTCTTCTGGACTTCATGGGCAAGTCCACTGAGCCCCCATCTGTAGCCAGTCTAGTGCATAGATTAACAAGACCCCCTTCCCCCAAGTTATCATTCCAGGTACATGAAATTGAAGGGTTTGGCTTGAAATGCTTTTGCTTATGTCCTTTCCAGGTTATAGTAGTCCTTGTTTTTTATACTAGGTATCATTGGTGGACTGACCAGTGTTATAACCTCAACAGTGGAAGGTGTGAAAACAGAAGGGGGTGTCAGCGGCTTCATATCTGGCCTTGGCAAAGGACTTGTTGGTACTGTGACCAAGCCAGTGGCAGGCGCTCTGGATTTTGCATCTGAAACAGCACAAGCAGTGAGAGATACAGCCACACTCAGTGGCCCCAGGTCAGTGATCATGGGGGGAGTGTGTTTGCCATTTCTAGCCCAGGTCTGCTGCTTCCTCTAGTCTATACTATGCATAGCCATAGCTATTATGCATTTTTAAGCTCTTGTAACTGCCTAACATAAATGCATGAAAATGGAGTATAAACCTGTAGTGAGAAAGAGATTATATTACATTGGTTTTTTTCATTGGAAAGGTCAGAAACAGTATTATATCATTATAAGATTCCCCTGTTCACCAAGCTAAATAGATCCCCTTTCCCATGCCCATGAAGAACACCATTAGGTTGTAAGCTGATGGGGCTATGCTTCTAGGCCCATGGTATAGTTGAAGAATGTATGTAATTGTGTTTTATCACAGTGTTGTTCCTTCTTAGTTTTCCTTCTACTTGAAAGTGCCAGCCAGGTCCCTACCCCCATAAAAAGGAACTGTCTCCTCTCCCCCAGCAAGTTGACAATTTGCTGTGGGGTGCTGTCTTGTCTTGATAGCAGTCTAGACTGAAAACCAGAAATGGCCCCTATGGCTCCAAATCCCACAGAACCCAACCACTTTAGCTATTCCTTGAATAGCCTATTTTAGCCTTTAGCATTCCTTCTCCAGAGGGACTAATTGGGGGTGCTTATCAACAAAGGAAATAATGAATGTTGCTGTTCCCAGCCAAGCTGGACTCCACTTAAGCCCAGAATGATTTTTGTTACTGCCTGGACAATGGGCTCCCCCTGGGTGAAGCAGTGTGCCCTTTTAGAATACCCAGATGGGCCATGTCCATACCCTATCACTCCCTCAGTAGGATTCAGAGCAGATTTGGCCCCAATTAAAATGAATCGGCTTTTCTGTCACCAGGAAATCTCACCAATGACACATTACTACAGTAGGGGAAATACTTAAGATTGTAGGTTGGAACCACGCAGCGTGTTCTGTCAAAATGTTTTCCATCTGCAAGCAGCTGCTTTTTAAAAAGGGGTCTGTGGAGTTTACTTAAGTTATATTCTATTCTCAGATGGAGAGTTAAAACAATCATTGAGTATATTTTGAGGCATTTATGTAGTAGTGGGGAGGGGCAGGTAGTAGGAAGTCTTCAAAAGTGTTTCCAGTTAGTTTTTAGTTCTGCTCAAAGCTCAAGAAATATGCCTCCAGTATTTTCTTAAGATTACAAGACCTAATGAAGTATAAATAAAGCTGAAGATCCCTAAAGAATTCCCAAAGAACTGTCCTTTTTAAAAAATATATACAAATTTTATTTGATGTGACATACTTCAAGTTTTATGCTCACAGAGGCCCTTTCAGAAAAGCAGTCAAGTCTTATTCTTAAAATATCCAAAATGGTCAAGGGATTGGTGTTTATTTTAAAAAGATTCGAAGTCTATGCTTTAAAATTTGTAAAGATAATTTTGCGCTGTGGAGGTTAATGATGTTGACTAGAAGTTTTGTGCAGTGGCAGTGTGGAATTCTTTGTGAGGCTTTGTGCTCTTTCTAGGAGCACACATCAAGTGGTCATGGTTGATGCTGGACTACAGGTGTTCTCAGCATCTTTAGTAGTTGTACAGCATTGCCATAGAAGGCTTGATTTAGCATTAGCCAGTTCCTAACTGTCCTTCATTCATTTCCTGGAACAGCTGTCTGCCCAACCACTCACTCTGCCCAAAAACAAGCCACAGAGCTGAGTAAGGAGCATGTGGACTCAGGGGAGGGGGATTAAACTTTCCCTGTCCTCTCACTTCCTGGAGGTGCCAGTAAGTAGGAGAGCCATGGTGGCCTGCCCCAGAGGGGAGGGGCACTGGCCAGGCCCATGGTAATCAGGGCCTTAATGGATCACACTGTCCTTTATAGCACTGAAGAAGCTGTGCAGGTGCTTCTGGAGGGATAGCACTACTACCTCCCATCACTGGTCTCCTTCAGTGCATCTGTCCAAGCTCAGCTTACTCATGAGGAGTCATGTGATAGAGAAAAGTGCAGTTGACCCAGAAAATAATAGGTATGAGTCCCAACCCCCTTACTTATTAGCTCTGGGCCCTCGGTCAGATCTCAGCCTATCTAAGCCTCAGCTTTTCATCTATAAATTAGAAATAAATATACCTGTCTTTTAATTCTACCTCTAAGGAGTTTGAAGCCCAACCAGAGTTATTTTAATGTGGATGCTGTGAAGATCTATTAAAAAAGCAGGGCAGTATTATTTTGGGTTATAGTAAAGGAGTTCAGAGCTCCCTGCGGGTGGAAGAATGTTTCTGTGATTCCAGGGTTTGCTCTGATGACACTGTGCTCGCTTAGGAACATGCCGGTTCTGCCCAAGGGATAAATCACTCTGGTTTCTTGGAAGTGAGATACAACCATCTCCAACCATCCCAGTTGATTGAACAGGATCCAGGGGTGTTACTCAGGGTTTTCCCCACTGTTTAGACAACAGGGACTAACAAATGATTTGAAGGGATTAGAAGTGAGGCTCTGACCGAGGACTGACCTGAGCCCAGGGAGCAAGCCAGGAATAGAACCCAAGAGTCCAGGAGTTCTGCCTCTGCGTCTGCACTTGGAAAAGACTTTCTACTTCCTTTGTCATATTTCATCCAAGTGAAGGCTTAGATGTTAGTATCTTATGTTTTAAAATGACCCAAATTTTAAGCAGATGACAGCAAAGTAAGACATAAAACTGAGAAAGAATACTCCTTCCAGTAATCCATCAGAATAGTAGCCTTACAGGAATCATTGGCTCCTTTTTGTGTTTACTTGAATATGATTTTGTTTATAGGGAACCCCCTCCTTCTGTTTTTTCAGATTAAAATACTTCCAATTCTTCTTGTTGGAGTGTGTGGGCATTCCAAAAAGACAGTCATCTAAATTTCTTCCAGCATTTCCATGCAATCTAATAATCCTTAGGAAGGCAGGTGGGGGTAGGAGAGAAGAGGGTGGAGGACAGCAGAGCCTTTGGCCTCCACATGAACGTTGTGGACCAATATCCCCCACTGCATTTGTTAACTGTACAAGTATGTGTGGTTTGGAACAGAAACAGGAAGCTTTTTCCAAGGCGGCGTTCTCTTGGCTCAGGTTGCATCTTCTAGTCTACGTGTATTGGGCCACATTTGTCTGTTCCCAAGTAAAGTTTATGAAAATGGCACAGAGGCAGCCACACTTGTGGTGCCTCTGATGCCATGTAAAAAAAGGCTGCTACCCTCCTTATAGACCAGGCCAAGCAGGGCGCCAGGCCATGCAAGTGCCCAACTCTCAGCATGAGTGTGGTGGTACTGATGGTAGTACTGGGAAAGGCCCCCTGGCAGAAAACTGCAAGGACCAGGGAGCAGCATTTCACAGCAAAGGCAGCTCAGCTGTGCTGTGGAGAAGAGGCTGCTTGCTTGCTTGTTTGTTTCTTCTTCATCTGTTGCAGACTTTGGAGTGCACGTATGCTAAGAAAGTAACAGAAGAGGATTTAGGAAGCTGGGCCCTGAGGATTCCTCCAAAATATTTCTTTACATTTTTAGTCAAGGCCCCAAAAGGTGGAGAAATGGGAGTTGGAAGAACTTGAAATATTTAAACTAATTTAGTAAAGCCCAGGGGTGTTGAGCTTATCTCATTATTTAAGTTAGATAAGGAGAAGGGGGGAATTGAAGGATAATGATAGATCAGTGTTTAAGAACATACCCATCAGGACTGATAATGCACTGGGATCCCACGGCCCTCTACTATGCACGTAGATGTAAATTCCAGTTGCTTGAGAACTTTTGAGTAACCTCTAGGTGGATTTCACAGGAGATTTATGGTGAGCATAATTGACTTCTTCAGGAAAAACACTCCAGGGACACTGCCCAAAATTTGTTAATGACACTTTCCGTTAATGGCCTCATGGATGGGAAATTGAAATAGATTGTCTTAAGGAAAAGCCCTTTTGCTACAGCATTTGTATCTTCCCAGGCTTTCAGCATAAATAGACTTCTTGGGTCACTAGAGCCTGAGTGTAGTCAGGCTGAGCAGGTCAGAAAGAAGCCAGGAAAGAGGACTTAGAGGAAAACCCAACAAAAATCAGTGTTTATGAGTATACACTAGTGCTCTCTAGTTTTTCCTACCAGTGTTCCCTTTGAGGCAGGGAGAGTAGACGGGTATCTTTTGTATCTGGGCGCACAGCAAGACTAGCATTTCATTGACAGTTCCTGTTTTGTCTTAAAACTATAAATGACTTTTACACTTTATTCCATGTTTGTGTTAAGTAAATATTTTGAGTCACTACCCACACTTTTGTAAGTTCTAGTATATGCCCTCCATCGAGCCCTGTGGATTGTAGAGCAGAGATACAGGTATGTACATCGATAAGGTAGAAAGCTGGAGCTTCGTCTGTGGTCGACTGTGAGGCTCTGTTCTCATCTTTGGGCATCGGCCTGGTGGCTATCTGCTGCTTGGAGCATCCAGTGTGTTAGCATGACAGGAATCTTGTTTCTGTGAGATTGAAACATCATTGCTGTGTCCACCTGAAGGGAAGGGACTGTCCTGTCTCCTCTGTTGTCCACAGCAGCTTAGGAGATACAGTGACCACCACTTCATCAGTCTTTTGCTCTCCTTCGCTATACCTGTAGGAGATGAGAGCCATGCATCCTCACTTCTGATCTTGCCAAACCAGGTCTTTCCAAAGAAGACCTGTGCAGCCTCAAAAGAAGAAGTGACATCAGGAGCCATGCTAATGACAGTTGTCTTACATGGTCTGAAATCAAGCTGAGGGAATTGCAGGCTAAGATATTTTTAAGAAACATTCTAACAGTCCTTCATACCTTATAAGTTAAAATTTTCTCACAGGAACAGAAGCAGAGAAATCTTATTTTCTGAGACAGACTTCTTCCCTCTTGCTGAACTCTAAATACTGCACTCCCCTTTCACTCAAAAGGCCCCAGACAATGCCATCCTCATTATAGCATAACTTATGGGAAGCTCAGATCTACTGCTGAAAAAGAAGCAAAGTGTGTGTTCATGCACACACGTATTTGAGAAAAGCCTTTCCATTTCTGAAATCCCATGACTCATTTTTATGCAAGATTATCTGCTAGGGAAAAAAACCCACTTTTTTGGTCATGGTACATTATAATCGTTTCTAGAAAGGAGAGCATCTAATTTTTCCATTTTTGGCATGCAGAGATATCTGACTTCATGGAAACAGCACAGTCCTCCCAAAAGTAAAAAGCAACTGAATCTCAGCAAGTCCATCTTTAAAGTCCAGTCCTTATGTAAAGACAATAGAATGGAAAGTGTGATTGATGGCTCTCATATTTTGGCTTCTGCTGATTAAAAATTAAATGACCTAGCCACTGTAAACCTGTAGTCTCCTCTATGTTCAGTGAATCATTTCTTAAGCTCTGGGGTGACACCTAATTGCGTAAGATACGCATCTGAGGTCTCGGGTTTGAACTTCCAGCAGAACAGTGTTGGTAGTTCTTCCTGAGAGAAGTTTGTATTTCATGCATAGAAA